AAAGATAATGATTAAAATTAATATTACATATATTATAGGCTATCAAAAACTAAAATGAGAATAGTTTATACCAACGAAACCCATTTTAGAGATTTGGTCATATTGAGATAGTGGACAATAACAAATACCATAAACCATAGGACCTCAAAAGTTAAAAGCAAGGTTATCTTGATATGCTGTTTGTTTCATCGCGCAAAACATACGATCTGCAACCTACCAAGAACTGGACCCCTTCCAGCTTCGTCTACACCCAAGATGCAAGGCTCGTTCTTATTTATCTCCAATATTGATGGTATCGGCGAATGATACGTGTATGAGCCGGTTAAAGGCTCGTCTCGTACAGAGGGTATTGATATTGTGCTATTTTCTTCATAGTTGAAGCTAGCATTTTCATTCACCGTTGTCATATTGAATATAGCAACACGTACGGTATGTAATATACGCGACAAATTGCGTTTTTGAATAGGCGCCATATACATGGCGTTGGCCAATCAAAACATTTGTAAACCGTACATAATTTATGTATCACTAAAGTCTAATTCTTTAACTAACTCTAGATATATAGTAACAAAAGTAATTTTTTACTTTATTAGTAGTTCAAGTAAATATTCTAACATTATTGATTGTAGGTTATTACTTTTTTAGGTTTAAAACCCAATCATAAAGTAAAGTTTCTCATGTGATATAGGACTCCTTGTCACTAGCAAATATCACAACTTTTAATATACTGTATTTAACAATAGTTTTATACTAATTAAATTAATAATATTGCTCCTTGCTCAATTATAGATTGCTTCAATTTCAAAATATTCAATAAGAATATTTTCATGAAAATTATATAAAATTGTTTTTATTTTAATAACTTTGAATAATTTTAATAAGTTCTTAATATTACATCAAATAGTATATAATCTTATATAAGATAATATGTTATTTGTTTTTTAAAGAAATTATTTTCTTTATTATTTTGGAAAACTCTTTTCACTTATCCTCTAATCATATACCAAAAAGATGTTCACAAGAAGTTTTCATACTTTTTACTAATAAAATCTTATCACTTTCCTTAAATCAACTTGAAGGAAACTTCAAGAGATATCCTTACCCCACTTTCCCTTTTTATAACACTTCTCTTCAAACAAAACCTTGACTTCTAGTGACTATAAAGTCAAG